TTGCACTTGATTCCTCTCTGTGCATCCTTGATGGAGGGTCACAGTCACAGAGCTGGTGGAAACTGACAGAGCGGGGTGGCTGTGCCCAGATCAGAGGGTAAAATGAGACTATTCCATTCACAACTTAAGTTTACTCCAAAGGATGCTGTGAGCAAAGAGACTTGGGGCTAAATTAAAAGATATGTATGTATTCAAATTTGCTGATTTCAGAAGCTGAGATTGGAATCCAATCAAAATGAAGTCTGGGGCTGCAAAAATGGTTCAGTGTATGCACAGCGAGCTCTTTACCTACACCACACTGTAAGTACATACGTGCAGGCCAATTTTGACTATTTTCTCAATTGCTCCTCACCCTGTCTTTGGAGACAGGGTCCTCACCAAGCTCTTGGACCAGCTGGTCTGGCTGTCCAGCCAGCTCCAGGGTTTCCACCTGCCTCTACCCCTCCTCTAGCACCATGGCCATACATACCCAGTGCCACCGTTGCCAGCTTTTTACATGGGATCTGAATTCAGGTCCTCCTACACACAAGGCAGGTACTAGCTAAGTAATTTCCCTAGCCCTGTGTGCCGAGCTAGAATCTTGGATGCTTCTTAACTTATCTGTTGCTTTTACTCACTTATTAAATGGGTATTCCATCAGTCTTCTATACCTTGAAGGTCTTCGTGAGAATGAACAGAACATATTTTTTTTGTACAAATATGTGCACTTCTAGCTATAGATAGACCACATTTTTCACTGTAAGTCGGGTGTTCTGCACAGCCTAAGTGTTTGGAATGGGTCCAGACTTATTGCTTTGTTCTTGCCTTGGTAAGCTTTCTAATCCAGAACACCTTTGTATTTCTAGAGAAGAGCCGAAGATGATCCAGAGAGTTCTCTTCTGTCCTTTACACGGTTCACTAGTGCTAATGTCTCACATAGCTCTGGCCCATTGTAAAAACTAAAAGCAACCTTAGTACGCGGCTACTAGCTAAACTGCAGCTGCCGTTCAGATCTCACTGGTTTTCTACCGGAGTCTGTTTTTGCTCCAGAGTTTGGTCCTCATTCACACACGGCCGTCTGTCCTCTGGTCTGAGAGGGTCTCCATTTTTTTTTTCTTGCCTTTGGGGCACATTGGTCATGCTGTATAGACCTCTTCTCACTTTGGCTTTGCCTGCTGTTTATTTTCTAGAGTTATGCGGTTGAGAGAGGACAGAGTGCTTCCTTAGCATATGGTATCAGAAGCACATGCCGAGAACACATCCTCCTGTTAGTGAGAGTGACATTACTTGCTCAAGGTGAAATTTGCCAGGTTCCTCCTCTGCATATTTTATGTCTTTAAAAATGTTTGAATTCTGTGTGTGTGAGCGTATCTGTGTGTGGGTGTGTGTACGTCGAGAGCAGTGCCCTCAGAGGACAGAGGAGGGTGACAGAGGGTGCTGAGCCATTTCTCCAGCCTCCGTTATTTGTACTTTTTGTTTCAGCTCCAGCCATTTTCTAAGACTTATTGTTTCTTTTCTCAACAAGTGGCTAGAAGCCAAGACTGAGCTTGAGGCGCATAGGCTGGTGCTTGCTGGTGCCATTTTTTTTAGCAAGCACATTAACAAGGAGGCTTGGAAGTGAGAAAGTGCAGGTTTCTCTAACTTTGGGCTGCTTACTCTTTTTCTCTGAGCCCCAGTTTCCTCATCAGTGGGTGAGGAAAAACAAAAACCATCCACAGGGCTGTAGGACTGTGTGGAATGACACACCAGATAGGCTGGCTGCTTCTGAAAGTGGATGTCATCGTCGCTTCCCCACACCAACTTCTCCACTGAATATTAACCAAAGTATTTGAAGAAATTATAGGAAACATCTTCAAAGCATCACTGATTTGACAAAACAAAAAACAAAAAACAAAAAACAAACAAACAAAAAAAAAAGCAGTTTTAAGAAAAAAGGGAACCTGGAGAAATTAGAAAGAAAATTGTATTTTCCCTGAAGCAATGTGCCGTTTCCAGCAGATCTGAACTTTGACCTTGACGGTGGGAAAGTGGCTTGAGAGGGCAGGAGGCAGTGACAGTAAAGCACCAGACACAGCTCCAGGTAAAAGTCTTCACAGGAGAGCCTTCCCACAGCAAACTGGGATGCTAGGGAACAGGCAGGTGAGGTAATTTCTCCCTGAACTCTACGAGTCTTTGGAAGAAACCTGAAGAAAGACGTTTGGTGGAAGGCTGGCCTCATCTGAGTGCCTTGTAAAATACAATAATTTCAGTTGACTTTACATAAATCACATAGGTCATTGCTCAGAAACACTGAGCAGCTCACACAGAAGATAACTGGACACACAGCTGACCCAGTAGGAGAAGGAAATAAAAGCCTAAAGACATAAAACCTGAAATTGTTAGCTAGAGGCTATAAAACAACAGTATTTTAATGTATAGAGAAAAGAAATAAAGGACAACGTTAAATATATCTTGGAAGTAGAAACTGAAAAGTGCTCCAGGGAACACAACAAAGAAAGCAGGGACCTGTTCAGATAAAAGCTCAATGACCTGAGGTCCTTGCAGAGGGGTATGATGGAGGTGAGGAGTGATGGAGGTGTGCTAGCTTCCTCATTCTCTCTCTTGAGAGCCCTTGCCTGCTCCAAGTTGCCGTTCAGCAAGGAGGCCTCTGCACTTGGCCTTCCAGAGAAAGGTAGTTCTGAGGAGGCCGGCTCCTTCCTGAGCATCTTCCAGGATGCTGTGAGGGTCCCACCAGTGACGAATGTGGAAATCACATTGTACTACAGGAACACAAGAGTACTCCGTGCCTTACACAAAAGTTGGTCTCGACTCAGCCCTCCCCTGTTGTACTTTTTAAAAAATTCTACATTACTGGTGGCGTAGATTCAAATAGTCCCTCATACAATATTCTTAATTAAAATTTTCCTAGAGAACTTCATAAATACTGCATTTGCATCACCCCACCTCTTCCTTTCCCCACTCCAACTCCTCCCGTGGCCCCACACTCCCTCCCAAATTCATGCCCTCTTCTTTAGTTATTACTGTTACATGCGTACATACATGCATATACTCATGTAAAACACCTACTGAGTCAACTTACTGTTGTGCCTAGGTACATATGTTTAGGGGTAATAGCTTGGGCTTAGATGACCAACCGTGAGCTTGACTCTCTCTCTGCAGCCATTGATTTCCTAGAGCTCTTCACCTAGGGGTGGGGCCTTGTGAGATTTCCCTCATCCGTGTTGCCATGCCAACTGTTGTCTTTCTGCAAGTCTTGTTCAGGTGGCCATTTTATTGAGGTTTCATGGTGCAGCTTTCCTGTCATTTCTAGGAGACACTATTGAGTCGTGTCCTGGTTCTCTGGCTCTTCCCATGTTTCTATTCGCTCTTCTGCATGTAGATTTTTTTTTTAAGTTAAGCCCAAAATGAGCACTGTCTTTGTGAAATGTTCCCACCAAAGCCAGCTGCCATCTCTTCATTGCTTCTCTTACTGTTCAGGCGTGCTTCAAAGTTTATGTACCAGAGGGGTTGGCTCGGCTGTTACAGCACTGGCTTCTCTTTCACAGGATATCTGTTCAATTCCCAGCGCTCACCAGGTGGTTTATAACTGTCTGACACGCCAGTTCCATGGGATTCAGTGTCATTTCTGGCCACTGAGGGCATTGTACCACATGGTGCAAAACACATATTCAGGTAAACACTCATACATGTAAAATAAAAATGAATGACATATGTGTTGTCCTCAGAAGTAGGGCCCTACTATCAGTTGTGAAACATGATTTATAGCCTTGGCAATAACCTGTGATGTCTGGGGGATCCACGGGACCCCTTTGGCCAACAACTCCTGGCACAAGCTTTTACTTGGTGGCATAAGAAGTCTACTTGGGGCATTGTCCTCCTTATTATACGTTAACTCCATTTGGATTCCTTTCCTGTATGCATATATTTTAAGAAGCCTCTACAGCAGTAGCATAGGATGCATCTCTTAGGAGATGCATCATCGAAACATCTTCTCGAAGTAGATGGGAATTAACCCAGAGAACCACAACCAGACGCCGTGTGATAATGAGAGACATTGGAACACTCAGTCTCTGTGTGGCCTTGGCTGGCCTGGACTTACTTTGTAGACCAGGCTGGCCTCGAACTCACAGAGCTCTGCCTGACTCTGCCTCCCCAAGTGCTGGGATTACAGGACTGGGCCACTGCACCCAGCTCTGGGCAGGATGTCTTTATCAAACTCCCCTTGACACTTAGGGGCCTATGTGGAGGAAGAGGTGGAAAGACTGTGAGAGTCAGAGGCAATAAATGACTCTAAGGAACACCATCCTCCAGGCAATAGGAGTGATGCTCATATGAGCTCACAGAGAAAGTGCTGTCCTGCACGAGACCCACACAAGGCAGCCGGATCCCAGCACTGAGAGGGGAGAGCGCCCCCCCCAACGAAGAAGCTACTTGCAGATGATAACTGCTAGCAAAGAAAAAATCCATTTTCTCCACTTGTTCCTGGGCCCATTAACCACAGTCTGTATGGAATCTCTCACTACACCAAGCCCCTCCGAACAATGTTCAGGCTGAGTCTTCCACCTCTGTGCTTCTGCAGAAGAGGTGTGCTAGGAATAGGCTTTGCTGCTGCTGTCGCTGCTGTCTGAGCTCTCCATCCTTAGAGCAGTGATTTGGGATGGGCTAATGGTCCCACCTTATGTTCAGGTGCTAAGTAGCTCTTCACCTCCACTGTCACTATGGACATAAAAATACCACAGGATCTTCTTCTGAAAATGAAGAATGAGTTAATATGCTTTGGAAGGAGTAGAAAAATGAGTTAATACCCACCCCTACCAACACACGCCTCTGCTTTCAATGTCAGGAGTCCCATGAGTTAGTCCTTGTCACTTGATAAACTCATTACAGACTGAAAAACTATGCATAGTCCTAGAGGCCTAAAATCAGTGCTCAGAAACTGGTAACAGAACAGCAACATTTCCCAGAAAAGCAAAGAGCCAGAGGCTGCTGCACAGGGTCCTCTCTGCTCTGGAGACTCTTACCTGAGCCCTGATGCGCATGCTGGCCGTGGGAGTCAGGTATTTATGCTCTAAGTACCAGCCTCGCTCCTGGAACACCAGCTTTGTTCCATACAGCAGACAAAACTGAAGGGTAAGAAAAGACAGGAAAGAAGCAAACGTTAGGAAGAAATGGAGACTGTAAGGAATCAGAGGTGACATCACATCACATCACATTTTCTAACACTAGAAAGTCCTTAGTTAAAAGGGACATGATTTGGAAACAAAGTCTAAAGACACACACACACTTTCCAATGAACCTTGAGAGCAAATCTAAAAGTAGAATAGACAGTATAGTGAGGTCCCCTGCATCATTTTAAGTCAAGAAATATTAGCACACCATCAACCTTGGCTCACATGTGGCTTCCCCCATACCCTCTCCACCCAGGGGACTTGGAAGTCCACAACAGAATAGATTGTGAAACACATATGCAGCTCTGTCTGCTTCCCTTCTCATTCATGAAAAATACTCAGCAACGCCGTCTCAGTATTTTCCATTGAGCATCACTTCATTAAGCTTTGACAAAAATAGCATTCCTCATTTACATCTTGCCTCAGTATGCTTTTTTTTCCTGTTATGTTTCTGAAACCGAGTACCCTGAGTGACATCACAGGCAGCCAGCAAGCAAAAAAAAAAAAAAAAAAAAAAAAAGAAAGAAAGAAAGAAAGAAAAAAGCTAGCTTTCCAGAGGCAGAGTGGTTTTTCGTTTAACTATTCATTCATTCACCGTTTAATGTTCCATGATTTCAGTTCACACAGAATGTGGGGGAGTCCTGGGCAAGGGCCTTGGTGTCTCCATCACAGCGTCAGTAGTCAGACCTCTGGTCTTCTCGTTTCATCTCCATTCCCACGCAAGTCCCCTCAAAGCCTAGCCCAAACGCTTCACCCACAAACGCCCCTCACCTTTGTGTCTCTAAAAGATAATGGCTTAGGTGGGGACACAGTCGGTGACAGGGGGCTTGTCTTCCATGTGGAACAGCTCAGTTTGGATTCCCACCACCCACTTTAAAACAAAACAAAACAAAAAGCTGGCTTCGGTAGAGAAGGCCTGTAATCCCAGAGCTGGGAGGTGGAGGCAGGGGATTCAGTGAAGGACCCTGCCTCAGAAAGTGAGGAGAAAGCCCGTTAAAGAAGATGCCCACTATCGACCTCTGCCCCCCATATGTTCGTGCATGGGTGAGTGTGTCTTCATACATAGGTACACACATGTGCATGTACACAGTATGGGTGGGTAACACAAGGGAGAGTGGCGTTCCTTACAACCGGAAACTTGTGAGCCGAGCCAGGAGGGAAGGTTAAAGCGAAAAAGTTTTAAAGTTTCAGACTGCTACAGTCTGAAAGAGCCGTGCAAACAGGGGCACTGTGAGAAGAGCCCAAGCCCTCCGCCACGGTGCGCCCCCCTCGGGAAGGCAGAAGGAGACAGGGAGGTTCTGATTGTCAACTGTTCCTCCTGAATCCCCAGCTGAACCCAACAGAGCTGAACGGAAGAGGATCCGCCATGGTTTGAACGCGTTTCCCGGAAGTCCCCCTGTCGGAGATAGAATCCTCAGGTTCACCTGTTAATGGCACTTGGAGGTGGAGCCTTTGGAAGGAATTGGGGCTGAAATGAGGTCTTGAGGATGAGCTCAACATGATGGCTTTTATAGGAAGAAGAAACAGAACTGGAACTCTTGCCCTGTGGCGTTCTCTTCCACGTTAAGATGAAGCACGAAGCCGGTCCCTCACCAGACTCTGAGCAGATGGTAAGCGCCACACCCTTAGAACTTCCCAGCCTCCAGCGCAGCTGAGAGCCAAGTAAATGTCTAGTCTCCACAAAGTATTTACTCGGGGTATTTTGTTACAGCAACAGGAAAGAAACTAACACAGGCTGCATCCGTGCAAGCCAAGCAGGTCAGCTTCCCAAGGATATAGCAGGGTAGAGAAGGGGGTCACACTGGAGGGAAGACAAGACATTCATCACAATCCCGGCTCTCCCTGGATCGTCAGCCTCTCATCCAGTCCTGCCAATTCAAATCAAAGTCCAAACAGTCACAGAAAGCTACCGGCAGGCCAGCGTCTGTCCACACAACGTTCCACCACCGGCTATACCAGACTCACATGCGCTTACTGTCTGCTTTTCTTCAGTTGGGTAAGCAGGCTTTCAAGTTTTGCCTTGTTTGGTGAAGGTAGTTTAAACTCTGCAGAGGCCACCCTCTCAGTTTGTCCCTGTCAACAGGATGAGTGCTGGTTCTTTGTGCATCTAGAAGCACATGTAGGTAGAGGGGCCAATGGTCTAGCCTCAGTTCCTTTTGTGTCTAGCTCTTCAGGGCCTCTCAGTGCTGGAAGAGTCATTTACATTAAGCTCTTTGGGGACCGAGGCTGTGAATGAGCTCAGATGAGCTCCAAGAGATATGGAGATACCCTGCTTGGTTCTGTCTAGGGTCCAAGAAAGGGACTGCCAGGGATTGTCTACAGCGAGTCACACTATTTACTATTGACTTCTGCCTGAAAAACAAATCAGGAGTCTGTGACTGCTTCCAAATACCAGACTTTAACAATATAGATATATTTTTTTTTGTCTGTTTGTCTTGTTTTTTTTTTTTTTTTTTCAAGACAGGGTTTCTCTGTGTAGCCCTGGCTGTTCTGGATCTCACTCTGTAGACCAGGCCGGCCTCAAACTCAGAGATCCACTTGCCTTTGCTTCCCAAGTGCTGGGATTAAAGGTGTGTGCCACCGCTGCCACCACCACCCAGCAATATAGATACTTTCATACTTATTCTCCCTGCCCCGAGGTGCGTGTGTGTGCACACGCACATGTGCGTGTGTACATGTTCATGTGTGTTTGGTCTATGTTCCCATGCACGTAACATACAAAGGCTGAGGGTGTGTCAGGTGGTTGTCCTGCTCCATCATTCTCTACGTTATTGTCTTGACACAGAATTTCTCACTGAACCTGGAGTGAGGCTGGTGGCCAGCAGGCCCCAGTGACCTGCCTGTCCACCCCTTAATAACTTTTCACATGGGGACTTAAACCCCGATCCTCATGTTTGCACCGTAAGTGCTCTTTAAACACTCTCTCTAGCTCTCCCTTCCGTCGTTTTATATATTTATTTTTCTATTTGAAGCAGGGTCTTACTATGTAGCCCAGGCCAGCCTGGAACTCAGTACATAGACCAGGCTGGCCTCAAATTCCTATAAATTTGCCCGTTTCTGCCTCTCAAGTACCTCTACCCGGCCTTTTTGTCTTTAATATATTCAGCGTTACATGTTACTTTCCTCTTACGGTACAAACTTTGGATTTCTTATTTTAATATTTATTTATTTATTTATGTACACGTGTCTGCCACACTGTGTGTGGGGGCCCAGAGACACGAGGAGAGGGTGTCGGATCCCTTAGAACTGGACTTTTAGGTGGGTGTAAGTCATATGATATGAGCAGCAAGTGCTCTTCACTGCTGAGCCACCTCTTCTACCTGCCAGCTTAGTTTTCATGCTTCCTTGAACCTGACGGCTTCTAGACATTCATTCTCTTTTTAAGACGCCAGAAAGGAGAAAATGTATCGAGATGTCGTCACCTCATCTCCATGGTCCCTGAAGCTTCATTACCGCCTTAAGTTTGTACTCTACGCTCTTATACGCAAAGTAAAATATAGAGCGCTCTCACACAGTCACATATAAATGAGTAGAAAAAGTACAATGTGAGCTCGGTTTATAAAAAATATTTTATCATTTAACACTTCCACTCTCTTTCTACTATGATAAGCTTTCAGCCAACTCATAAAGACATATGTACGTCCCTAAGTGGCTACTTATAAATGTGTTCTTTTAAAGCTGTCTCCATGGTGTGCCCTACCTCACACCCTGCAAAATCACCACAGATTTTGGTTCAATCACCTGGTACCATATGACATCCAAATTTGGAAAGTTTTGCTTACCATAGGACCTTTACTCCTCAGAGCTTAATGAAAGAAATGAGATGACTTAAAAAAAAAAATACAGGCTCTAGTTTGGGGTTAGATGACTGTAATGGTTAGTGTTAACTTTGCAGAATCTGGAGTCACCAGGGAAACAAGTCCCTGGTCATGCTTGTGGGGATTATTTTGATTGTGTCATATGATGTGGGAAGACCTGTCCACCTTGGGTGGCAGCATTCCCCACTGGTGTCTGGATTATGCATGTAGGGAAAGGGAGCTGAGAGCAACATGCCGCTATTGCTGTCTGCTTCCTGATGGTGGATCTATTTGACCAGCTGCTCCAAGCTCCTGCAGCCCTGATGTCCTGGCCAGAATGGACCAGACCATAATCTTAAATTGTAAGCCTGACTTAGTCCTTCCTCTCTTAAATCACCTTTGTCAGAGGGTTCTGTCACAGAAAGAGAGTAGAAATTAAGACAGTGAAGTAGGTGATTTTTCCCAGAACATATGAAGAGAGAAACTATCTGAAAATTCTGAAAAATAAATCGTGTCAACTAGACTGGGGAAGGCCAAAATTTACAGCACATAAAGCTGAATTGGTGGTAGCTGAGCCCTTTTTCTATTTATTTACTTAAAATGTTCTTTATTTTATTTTGTTTTGTTTTTTGAGATGGGGTTTCTGTGTAGCCTTGGCTGTCCTGGACTTGTTTTGTAGATCAGGCTGGCCTTGAACTCACAGAGATCAGCCTGCCTCTGCCTCCCTGAGTGCCCTTTTCCCCCTTTAATCGTCAAGGCAGGTGCACAGGAGCAGGCTAAGTCATTGCTTTCCAGCTGGAAGGGGTGAGGGAGCCCCCAGGAAACCAGACAGCGGCAGGAAGAACATTGATAAGATGAGCTTGGGGGAACAGACCCACAGCACTGTGGAGCTCAGGCATAGGTGTACGTATATGCACCAATAATGCCAAGCACCAAAAAGACTGGGAAAACAGAACTAGAGAACACAGGAGAATACAAGAACTAGCTTGGCCAGTGAGTGGCAGATAAGCAGACAGTCTGAATGGAATGGTGCTGGCAGGTTAGTGCAGTATGTAAGAGGAAACAAAGAAACAGATATTGGAAGAAACAAATAGAAACAGAATAAAATGGTGGACAGAAACATCAAATAAGGGCCATAGACATCAGTAAATGTAATTT